GCAACCGGGGCGGGGGGAGGGGAAGCGGGCGGGCTGTTGTCGCCTCCCGCCGAAGGGGGGGGGGAAACCGGTCCCGGTGACCCTAAGAAGGGGCCGGGCGGGAATCGCCAGGCCCTGCGGCCACCTCCCGCGGGTGTCGGGGGCTCGCGGCTCCGTCGGCAACGCACGGGCTACAAATGGAAACGGTTTATTCGGCTTCACGGCATAAAATACAAACGTTAACCACGTCTTGAAACGCATAATACCAGTTCCGCGTGTGAAAGAAAGGCGCATGCAAAACCGCCCCTCAAAAAAGAACTCGGCCTCTACCTAAAATACAAGCACTGGCACAGGTGGGGCGTTCCTGCAGGCCGCTGGTAGATACAGGCGTTGCACGCCCGTGTAGCGCTGGTAGATAACAGGCGTTGCACGCCCGTGAGCGCTGGCAGATGCAGGCGTTGCACGCCCGTGAGCGCGCGGACGATAAAGCACGACCGACGTGGGAACTCCCCGCGCTCCCCGTGCGTTTCGGTGGGGGTCATTTCTTTCCCTACAAAGGCAGTCCAGAGGGGTAAGACCGGGGGGTTACCCACCCCCTCGCTATTAACGTCGTAGCTACTGTAAGAGAAAAATCTCCAATCTTAGTTGTGAATGTCCACCAAGCGGCTAGCGGTAGCCCCGGGTAAAATCTTGGGGTTACTCTTATCGCTGGGACCTGGATTCAGTGGGAAACATCACCACAGTTGTTTTGTAAAAAGATAAACGTGCAGAAATAAAAATACGTGATGGGCCTCAATCTGAAATCCCAGCCTCAGAAAAATACAAGGATTTTGTCGACTGCTTTAGCAGGATTAGGAGCCCTTCTTGGCACAGCATACAAAGGCCACGTCAGAATCTCCCTCCCTCTTTCAGTCTTCAATTTCTTTGAAACTCAAGCATTTTTCTCATCACTTTTGCATTATTATGCTGAAGAAAAACTCTTAGAACTAAGGATTCGACTTCAGTACTTTAAGGAAAGTAGCCATTCAGCTTTAGTGTTCAGCCTCCCTTTGCTAGGGAACCTGTTTTGTGCTGCCCAGACATTTTCTATTTTTAAAAAATAATAAGGGAAAGTGAAGGCAGAAGGTGAAACAGTCCAAACCTGAATGGCCGGAGAAAAAAACAGTGCGTGGCAATCAGTCAGTCTCTTTTTGCTGTAGGGGACAACGAAAACTCTTTGCTTTCCCTGTAATGATCTCTGCCTGCAGACAGAAAGAGGGGACGCTCCATTAGCCAGCAGCACGTGCAATCTCAGGAAGCTGAAATCCCGACCTTCTGCTTCAAAGGCGCTGCCAGCACAAACCCATCCTCAGCCGCGCTGGTCTGATAGCCTCCCATCTCAGAGGAGGTGGGGGAGCACCCAGGTGCTTCCCGCCTAATGAAGCAAGAGATGGTGGTCATTAAAAAAACCGTACTCCCATCCAAATTTGAGCATGGCTCCAATTATGGCTCTTTTTACTCCCAAAAGGGCCATCCCTGCTGTGCGAGCGGGATGGGGAGGAAGCCACGACCAAGCGCATCCGAAGTCACGCAGTGCTTTGGCGATCTAGCAAAGCCCCGGCACGGACAGGTGGGCCAAGCACAAATACTGTTCAAGATTTAGCCATTTTCTTCTCGGCGCTGCAGAATAAAACACAAAATTGCTCCAAATGCGATCAGCAGAAAGCAGAGTGCAGCTCCTCATTTGCAGGATTTAGGATTTAGTTGGGATACGTACTAATGCAAAGGCAGGTAGCATAGAAATTGTGCCATTTGAATGGGACAGATTAAAGCATTAAATGTAAGCTCTTTAGTAGTGTTACTAGCACAATCCTGGCTTATTAAAGCAAACTAAGCTTCTTAAAAGTGAAACTGCCCTTAAATGAATAATACTGTTTCAGTTCCAGTTCTGACAGAACTGGCTTTGTTAATTTATTTTCCCTTTCAAGTCACTCCCGATTCTTGGGTCTCACGTAGGAACTGCCATTACATTTTGGTTTATTTTGGAAGTTAAATCTTTGCCGTCAAACTGCCTTATGTAAGTCTGAGACATCAGAAATATTCTGCTATCTGTATTAGAATTTAAAAAAAAAAAAAAAAAAAAAGAAAAATGATTGCCAAATCTGACCCTGGCCCCAGAATACCCATGCTCCAAGTGAGGAAGCACCAGGTTCCCAGCCGGGAATGCTGCAGCACTGAACAATTTAAGCAGCAGGTACAGAGGCAGAGCTGGCCTGTAAGTCCAGACAGCCGGGCTGCTGATGGAGCCTGGGCACTGGCCCGTGGCCACCTGCTCCTGGTTATTCCGAACTGTTTTCACTTAAAAAGCAGAACAAAAATAATCCTCCCAGACTCGAAGATCCCTACTGTGAAGAAATACAGACACTGACTGGAGAGGACTGGATTGCATGACTCATATGTGAAGGTTACACTCCCACTGCCAAAAGTCATATTTGTAAGATCCGATTGAAGATCTGATTTCTGCTAATATACCATCGAGCCATAATTAGGCAGGAGGCTGGAAGCTCGTCATCCAAAACTACCAGAGATATATTTGCAAAGGCACCAAGAGTTAATGGAAGTAATTTGATTTCTGCATTCACAATCTCTACTGGCTATTGCAAAGTATTAAGCTGAGTGCGTTTAACTGCAGAAAGGCAAATAGGTTCCTACGAGTCATGACCTGGAATAGCCTCTTGCTTTTCTAGCAAGGCTCCTTAATAAAACAGGGCAATAAAAACAGGTTTAACACTGTTAGACAGGAAGCACAAGACTGCTTCACGTATTTTTTCTGCTTTGAAAAACAGTCCTTGCCAAGAGGATAAGGGAGAACATTTATCAACCCCATCTCCAGGGTGCTGCAGCCCCTGGACTCGGCACCCACCTACTTGTACCGTCTGCCTCGTGACCAAGGTTCCTGACCTACTGGCGAAGGACAAGTCCATTTCTGTAGTGAGGTGACAGGCGTGCCTCTCCGCAGCCCTCCTCACCTGCCTGGAGGATGGGACGGGACGTGCTACGGAGATCAGCTGAGTGATGCCGACGCGAAATCAGAGGGCAGCGCTGGCAGGTCAGGCGCTGGCTTTGGTAGAAGGCAGTGATACGGCTTTGACGCTAGAGGGGCAAGCCCAGACACTGCTGACACACAGTCAGTCAGCGCAACCTGGAACTCGCTCCCACACCTTCATTTCTCCTCCTGGTCCCGGGGCCCAGCCCTCTCCCCCCCCCCGCTCTCCCCCAGCCTCTCCTCCAACTACGCAGCTCTGCCAGGAGCTGGGCAGAGCCACAACAGCGAGAGGCTCTGCAAGAGTGCGGCTCCGGGCGCCATCTCAGGCAAGCTGCCCAATGAGCCAGCTGAGCCCTATATGGCACTTTGCAGGAGCTACAGTCTGAGCAGAGGCTCATAAATTCACCCCCAGCAAGGCAAAGAGGCTTTAGCATCCCTGTTTTGGAACATGGAAGGCTGGAGCTGGAGACATTAACAGGCTTGACTACTGCTTGACAGAGTCCAGATCAGCCCCTGGGAGCTCCTGGTCCTCGCTGTTGCTTCAGACCAGGCTTGGTGTCTCCATTTCAGCCTTGCTGCTGAGCTCAGGCGCCCAAAGAGATGGATGCAAGCCTGTGAAAGCCACACCTTGAGGGATTTAGCAAGGAGGAGGTTTAGTGCAGATGAAAGTAAAAAAAACCTGATGACACAAGAGCCCGGTCCTTGTTGCCCTGGCTGCTGGGCCAGCCACAGCCATGGTGGCTCACATGTGTCCTGTGGCGAGAGAGGCACAAGGCTGGAGGTATGCTCCAGGGCCAGTGGCCCGTCGGAGGCATTTTGTAAGAGCCCAGCCTTATCTGCAGTGAAAGAGCAAAGGCAGAAGGACTTCGGCGCAAGACCACAGACAATAATAAATGCTGACCTGTGCAAACTTCCACACTGGGAAACAAAACCAAAAAAAAGTGGTGGAGATGCGGGGACGGCAAGGGGCCAAGCCCGTTGGGTGAGGTTTGTTGCATACGTGCCTATTTGGGCCCTCTCCACACCTCGTGTCACCATCAGAGGAGGGTTAAAAGGCGGCTCCCCTGGTACTACACACTCTCCAGCCGTTTCCTCATGGAAATGAAACGTGAGGTTTGGGGAAGACCCAGGTCTCTTCCACACACCCCGTGAAGCACGCACGCACCGCACACTCGGCCACTGACCAGGGCAGGGGGCAAGCAGCGTCCCTCGCTTTGCTCTTCCCGCACAGGAGACAGGCTGCCGGGCATCGGCTGGCCGGTGGCTCGTGCCCTGCGCCCCCGGTCACGGGTGTCCCCTCTTCTGCCTCTCCTGCCATTCCTGTCTCAGCGCCGCAATCTCCTGCCCGTACCAGCTGTGCAGCTTGGAGAAGCAGGCCGTCTCCGGTGACACCGGGCTTTCCGGCATGGCCGGCGAAAGGCCGGGCGCTGGGGACCCCGCAGCGCTGCTGGCAGCCGAGCGCCGGCGTGGAGGCAGGGGCGGGGGGGTTGAGTCCATGTGGAGTAACCGTTCGCCAGGACGGCGGGCTTCTCCTGGAGAGGCAGCAAGGCGGGGTTGGAGAGGTGCCTCTTCCTGATGGAGGAGGACCTCCGCGGAGAATTGCGACAAGCGGCCAAGCTCTTGCAGGCCTCCTCCAGCTGCTTCTCCAGCTCCCTCACCACCAGCCGCATGTAGTCGAAGCTGGCCCGCGAGAGCGCCTTTACCCAGGCCTCCATGGCAGCCTGCCCATCGGCCACCAGCACGTAAGCCCTGGCACCGGCGTCATCGAAGCGGATAGCAAAGGCGAACTCCTCGGTGGCCTCGCACAGCTCCACGGTGCAGCCCTCCAGCACCACCAGCCCCATGGGCTCCCGGCTCTCCCGCTCCTCGAAGTAGAAGAGGAGGTTGCCCTTGAGGACGAACCAGCGGCGCTGGTAGGAGGTGGCGTGGTGGTGGTGGGCATGGTGGTGGTGTCGCTCCACCCGCTTGCGGAGGAAGCCAGCATGGTCGGCGGGCGAGTCGCATGTGGCATAGTGGGCCACGCTCCGCTCGTTCAGCTTCATCGCCCTGCCTAGGAGTAGAGGAAGAGAGGGGGAAGAAGTCAGCTTGGGGCAAGGAACATCTCACCTGCCCCGTCAGGAGAGGCCTGATCCTGCCCCGAGCCCGCCACAGGGAAAAGCAGCCCCGACTCCAGCAGCGAGCGCTGCAGGACAGTGTCTAACCCAGCAAGTACCCATGCAAACCGCAGGCTGGTTCCTCGCTACTGCAGAGAGGAGGTCATCCCCAGAGCCCCACCATCGAGACACCTGCCTTCTCCAGGGACGACAACACCGCTGCTTCGTTTCTTATTCCACGAGTGACCTACTTTGCTGGTTTTTTATGGGGCACAACAAAGAAATTTGCCTCTGTGCCTGTGAGGCATTTATTTCGCACTCTCCTCTATTACAGGGCAGGAGAAGGAGGATGTTTTCAGACCCAAGGGCTCTGGGACCTCCATTTGAGCACCCTCTCTCCGCTCCCCGTCTCCATGCAGGACCACCCATCCCACCAGCCCTCCCAGCAGCAGCACCCCCAGCCCCAGCAGATTAACTGGCAGCGGAGTGCGAGGTGCCGTACCGGCTGTGCAGGTCAGACCGCAACCCCTTGCTGTCTTCCTTGGGCGGGCTGCTCCATTGCCGAGGGCCTCGGAAGCTTCACCGTGCCGAGCCCCATCCCTGGTCAGAGGAAAGGTGGCAGAGAGGGAGTCACAAACCAGACCAGCTTGGGACTGGAAGAGCAAAGAGCTGCATCACTCCCACCCCAGAAAGCCGGGGCCCTTGGTGCACAGGGGCAGCCAGGGCCGGGCACCACAGGCGGGCGGCTCTGGAAACTGGGGTGGCGAAACCGAGGGCGCTTGCATTGGCTTCAAAGCCTGAGCCCCATCCCAGCTCAGGCCAGCGCTCCTGTGGGTTTGGGTTTTGGCTCCTGTGGGTTTGGTTTTGGTTTTATTAAAAAAAAAAGAAAAGAGCTTTTGTAGAAGCATGTCACTGCACCATCTGCGGAGGCCCCAACGGCAGGCGCTTCAGCAAGCCGGCGGGTCCCACAGAAGGACGCAGCAAGCGCAGCCTTTGCGCTTCTACAATTGCAAATGGATGTCCGACCGCCAAAACTCCGCATTAAGAAATATGCAGAAAACAAACCACGGCTGCCGCTCCCCGGCCAGATCCGGGCGGGGGAAGCTCCCTGCTGCTGAGCAACCTCCACCATCCCCCAGGGAGCCCTTCTGCCCCGTCAGGGCTTGTGGGGCAGGGCTCTGAGGACAAGGGGGCACGGACCCCAGTTGGAAAATGGACAAAAATCCCATCGGACGTAAGGAAACGCTGTTCCCCGGGGGTGCTTTGCCCTCGGTGGGTGGCGTGTGTGTGTGTCCGGGTGTGCAGCTGGGCTCTGTGTGTGTGTGTGTGTGTGTGTGTGTGTGTGTGTGTGTGCAAGGCTGGGCTGTGTGTCTTTGTGTGCAGGCGGGTGCAGTGGGGCTGCGTGTCTTT